GCTATTAATTTTTTGAAATAAAATGTCATTAAATTTAATGAATTATTACAAAATAGTCACTATAATGTTTTAATAAATTATAAAAGTTCGATAATATAATAATTATTTTATAGTATTTAGATAAATTTATTAATAATTTTATAATCTTTTAATAAATTTAATAAGTATTTTATAATTTTTTAAATTTTATTGACAAAAATGATCATTTGTATATAATTCAACGATATCTAATATACTTTATTTGAAAAAATATATTAAATAAATATTATACGAATTTTATTATTATAAATTATTACATCTACGGACTATTAGATTTTGGTTTTAATATTATATATCATTTTAAAAATTATTATTAAATCAATCGACATTGAAATCATTTTGATTTTAATTCAATCTTTTTGTTTCGGTTTAAGTAATTGTTAAAAAATTATATTTTAATTCTCAATTATTATCGATTCACAAATATATCAATACTCGATTTTATAATATCATTTAAATCATCTTAATTTATTCGAGTGGTACAATCCGATTCTATTAACATCAAAAAATATATATAATATATACTCCATATAATATACATCAATTAGTATTTTTCTATTTAGAAAAAATATATTATTTGTTTTTTATTTATTTATTCTGTATAAAGCCACTTTCGTACTTTACCAGAATTAAATGATAAGAATCAGATTTTTCAATAGTGTGAATATTTTTTTATTAAAACATTTATTTTGTCTTTTAATGCTAATAATTGTATTTCCCGTGATTTTCTAAGTTTTTATATAAAAAAAAGTTTACTAAGTTTAACTGTATAATATTTTTTACTAAGTTTAATATATTTTTTCAGATAAAGTATATTAGATATCGTTGAGTTATATACAAATGATCATTTTCGTCAATAAAGTTTAAAAAATTATAAAATACTTATTAAATTTATTAAAAGATTATAAAATTATTAATAAATTTATTTAAATACTATAAAATAATTATTATATTATCGAACTTTTATAATTTATTACAACATTATAGTGACTATTTTGTAATAATTCATTAAATTTAATGACATTTTATAATTTTTAAAAAATTAATAGTAAAAATGGTTATTTGAAGAGGTTAGAAGAGCTTTGAACACATAATAAGAGGACGCGCAGACATTAGAAAAGCTTCTATCTTCTATAAAATAAATGATCTGCGAAGCCGCGACAAATATATATAAAAGCTTTTAAAACCTTAAACAGTAAATCTTTAAGACATAACTTACCACACGCGTAAACCATGGAAATACTAAGACCATGTAGAATTGGTGATGTCATGGCCATGTATTTTTGAAAGATAGATGATTGGGTGAGAAAATAAAACGGTAAAGTACTCATAGTCATCCACTTATTTTTTATAGTTTCGGTTTAGTAACCTAATTTTTTTTTAAATCGTGAACAATATTACATTTTGATTCTATTTTAACAACTCTCTTTTAAAAAATAATAGAATTATTAATGTTATATTTTTTTATTTTTCAATAATAACACGATATTATTTTATGGTGACACACAAATTTCACTATTAATTTATTAACGAGTGACCAAAATAGAATATTAAATATGATTTTAAAAAATAGTTGGGTGGAACTTATTAAGTGATCTCAATAGTAAAAGGGAATATTGTTTTCCATAGAGGTTTTGGGTTCAACCATATGTGTCCGCAAGGTGTGCGTGCTTTGTCAATACGTTAAAAATATTATGAACATATATTACCTTGTAATCATCTCAAACTAAATACGTAGATTATTGTCGCGATCGTCTTTTAGGTGGGCTCAGAATTAGGTTTTGACTTGAATAAAAATGTTAGAGTCGCCACCGATCATTAAAAACATTTAGGTGGATCGAACACCATCTTACCTGATCTGCGTTTTACCAGAAATGTGTCGGGTTCGGGAGTCGATTACAGTAAATGAAGGATTAGAACCCTTGTACTGCCCTTTCGGTCTAATTAATTTGTCGGTTATCTTAATTGCAAAAAATTAAAATTTAAATCGAAATTTAAAAATTCAATTCGAATTGCTTACATTTGATCGATTGATATTATTACTGAAAAAGGCAAAAAGAATGTTAAATTGCAAAATAAAAATAAATAAATAAATATAAAAAAAGGAAAAAGTTAAAAATGGTAATAAATAAATAAATAAATAAAATCAGTAAAAGAAAAGGACAAAAATATTAAAAGGGATGATAAAATAATAATGAGACAAAAAAAAGAAAAATAAAAAATAAATAAAAAATAAAAAATACTAAAATTAAAAGAAAGAAAAGGAAATGAATTACTAAAATGAAGAATGCTTAATTAAGAAGAAAGAAAAAAATGAATAACTAAAACTTTAAAGGACCAAATCGAAATAAATTGAAAATGATGGATTAAATTGGTACTAAAAATGACCTGCAAGAGAAAAAATAAAAAGTTAGGGGGCCAATTCGAAAAATATAAATCGGGATTAAATTGATTAAATTAAAAATTCGGAGGCAAAATTACAAACGGTGACCGAATTGAATTGCGCTTCAAACTTACAGGGACAATGGAAAGGATTTAAGAATCCTCTAATTGCAAAGAGGCCCCTGATATATAAATACCAAAAAAACCCAAATCCGATACCTAAAAACCCAAAACTTCCCCGACGTAGATCTAAGCGTAAAGCTTGAAACTTTTACCTTTTCCGACTGTGAATCTTTTCGCTTCTCCCGGTGACTTCTCCTCTCCCGAACCAAAATCGAAAGATTTTCTTGTGGTTTGTGGGTTGCTTTGATTTTTATGATTCTGGGTTTTTTTGTTGTGTATTTGCTTGCTCAGTTTTCTCTACTGATTTGTGTCGATTGTTTCGACTCTGTTTTCATTGGTATTTGGATGTTGTGGTACCAGTTACTTATTGTGGTTCCGGTTACTTGTTGTTTTTCCGACTGTTGTTCTATGATCTTGTTAGCCTCACCGAGGGGCTTTTATAGCCCTGGTGTTGGTTGTTTTGGGTCCTGAACGGGATGAGATTCCTGTTGTTTTTATGGTTGTGGGTTGATCGAAAACCTCGGGATGGTTCAGTCTCGGGGATCTCGGCCGGCTTGTTGGCGCGTGCATGACTGATTCCTCCTTTGACGGCGCCCCTACTAAAATGAGTAACCTTAATCTGCTCCTTTGGGCTGAACCGATTCTGCTAGGTCATGCTACTCGGTTGGGCCCTTCTTCTAGACCTTGGACTGGAAAAAATAAAATAGGATTAATAAAATAAAATAAAACATATAATAAAAAATAATAATAATAATAATAATAATAATATATTTTCAAAAATATTTCCCAAAACCATATAATATATATATATATATATATTCAAATAATATTTTAAAACTCTCTCTATATATTTTTTAAAAATGTTTTCAAAATTATATATTATATAATTTTCAAAATGTTTTAAAAACTATATATTATATATATTTCAAAATGTTTTTTAAAAATCATATATTATATATATTTTTAAAATATTTTTAAAAATCATATATTATATAAGTTTTCAAAATGTTTTCAAAAACTATATAATATACATATTTTCAAAAATCATTTTAAAAAACTATATATTATATATATATATTTCAAATATTTTCAAAACTATATATTATATATATTTTTGAAAACCGATTTTAAAAAATATATTATATGTTTTTAAAAACTATAAAAAAAATATTTTCAAAAAATATTATACTATATATATATAAAAATAATAATAAAATAAAATAAAAAATCCGAGCGAAAATGAGTGTATACACTTACGTAAAAACAAATCAAAATGTAAATTAACGGCGTAGATTGATGAGTTATTTTGGGACCCCACAAGAAGCAATGGTGATTGGTGACTTTTCAAGTGTGCCAAATTTATTTATAAATCGGGTTCCTTGGGGACTAGACTTTGTCTTTGTTACCAGTTCGGTCCGATAATTTTGATTCCATAAGTCCAAGTCTTCAATTATCTTTTTACTATGCTTGATCGGTTAGTTTAACTTGTATTATGATTTAATTATAATTTATTTTTTAAAAATATAATTATTTAAAATAAACTTGGATTGAATTTTGTCAAGCGGATATGATTAAAAATAGTGAAAACCATATAATTAAAAAAAGCACATGGCATGTGATAATGGGACATTATAATTCTATGTTTCAACGACGTGTAAAAGAAAATTAAGAGAATAATCCAGTGAAATCCAACTCATCTGTTTTGCTTTGATATTTGTCTGATCAACAGCACAATACCACATGACCTCCTTACCTTTTAAACTTTTGGTGCCTAAAAATGAAACACCCAGCACATGTAGATTGTAAATCTTGGAAAATCTAAAGTTTATAGTTAGATTTAAAGATTAAAAGATTCAATTCATTTTAATTTTAAGAAACGCTATTTTTGAACTCATCAGGTGGTCTCAGTGGTAAAAGAGAGTGTTGTTCTCCATTGTGGTTCTAAGTTCGAACAATTGCGTCTGTAAGACGTGTTATTAATGATTAAAAAAGATTATAAACATATACTACATTGAAATCGCATTAATTTCGATCGATCGACTTAGATCTTAATTTAATGGTAAAGCAGAGACCCATGAAACAACCTTATTAGGTGGCCCATTGAGGCATTGAACATCAAGATCGTTTTCATGGGGAAGCTGTAAGGTCACTATCAATTCATCATTTTTATTTGTTAATTAAAAATAGTCTTACATATTAAAAAGGCCCTTAAGCTATAGAAACTTTTTTTAAATAAGCCCCTCATCATTGTAACTTATTATTTCAAACATCACGAGATTCTACAAAAAGATATGGGATATGATTGATGAACTATTATGATGATAGATTTGAATATGGAAGAGTTACGTATAATTTGATTGATCCCTTGACACAGTACAGTCAGTGAGTTGTAATAACAATGGCGGATTTGAATATATTTACATGTTAGAAGAATACGGTTCCTTTCGGTTCAGAAAACAAAGTGGTCTATTAGGGAACGTAATACATAGGATTCGGTAACTTGAATGAACGACTGGATGGGGAGAAGCCCGATAAATCGCTCCATTGATCACCGGAGTTCCCCAGAATCCTATATCCCTCGTCTACCATCTTACTCCTCTTCTCCGACTTGAATACTGTCGCTGGCTTGACATTGTCTTCGGGGTCTCTGCATGGAATGAAAATCCAGGAATTAGTCGGTGATCGAGGCGCCGTAATTGCAAAGCCAGAAGACTAGATCAAACATTTCTATGAGCAGATATAGTAGACACCAGAAAACCAAAGTCTAAGAATCCAGTTAAAAATAGTTAAATGGTTTAGTTAATATAAGCATGATCAGTTACTGCAATATAAAAAAGAAAAGGGACAGCAGAGTTCAGACCATGTCTCGAAACGAGTTGAAGAACTGTTTGTATACTCATCGCAGATGCTAAACATAACTAATGATGTCTCTTCTAAGCAAGGTGAATCAGAGTAAAACCATGTTTCCAGGAACCAAAGCAGAGGTATGGAAGATCAATTGCACTTTAGGTTCCATTTTCGTGTAAGACGTCGATATCGTGCACGTGTTCTACAGAAAACAAAACTGTCTTCCTCGAAAGGAGATCTAGTGAACAATACTATTCCCTGCTTTAGAACACGATTTCATAACTTTCAAAAGTTTCCTATCCTAGACGCTATTCGCATTATATACCCTGGGTGAAACTAGAAATATTATGCATTCATAATTTGCAAGGAAGCCTGTGATGGCTAAACCGAATACATTCTCCTATAAAAACGCCCGATTTCATTCTTCTCCTTTACCTTTCCTTGATTTCACACCATGGAGGTAAAAACAAGAACTAAAAGGAAAAAAGAACAGAAAAAGTGGTGCATATACGAGTTCAAGATCTACGGGCAAAGCACATAATTTGATAGCACACAATCAGCAGGACACAAGTAATGTCTACACCGAAGGCATAAATGAAATACAGTCCCCTTCGAGGAGGAGTTTAGATTGAACAGAAAATTAGGATACTCTGAGACCAAAATCTAGACCAAAGAAGCTGTCCAGCAAGAAAGATTTTAGTCTGTCATGGCAAAGAAACTAGTAACATTGACTACTCCATATAGCACCAACGGGCGGCAACAGCAACATCTCTATGCAAAGTCGGATAAAAATACCATTGCAGTCCAACACATTATAGGACATATAAGTAATAAATATCTGAATTCACAATTGTCGAACAAAAGCGTAATGATGCTCACCTTAGAATAAGCTTGTCCCAGCTCCGAAACCCTGCCTCGGTCAAATTCTCGATAGTAATAGATCTTTGCTTTTCACTTCTCCCTGTCAGAAAGAAAACTTTAAAGCCCAAATTTAAAACCTTTTCATAAAGTTTCAGGCTAGGCTCTATTGCCGGTGCCATCGCCCTATGAACCCACTTATCGAACTCAACAGGATAGAAAATCTCCAAGCTGCAAACTCACAATGAAATCCACATTAGAAATTAAGCAGTTTCAGTCCCACAAGAGAGCAAAAATTAAAGAGAAAAAAGTTGGTAAATTCAAAAGTCCTACTGATTTGAATGTTGTTCTTGCCTAACCTTTTGCATCAAACAATCAATCTAGTGCATGTCTATATTTCTCACATTCCCAAACAGCTTCTAATATACAAAACAATTCAAGATTACAGATATATGCATTCATAGATTTAAAGCAATTTAATTGCTGAAATCATTAATAAATAAATAAATAATGACATCTCCAGTTTCTTCTTCCTTCCCACATCAGCAACCACACTACTTAAACAAGAGAATATTCTAAATCCTAGCATTTGATATCAAAGGATATAAAATTCCATCTTTCTTCTAATTTCCCGCGTTTTCTTAGCAACCAAACAACATTATGAAAAATGGGAGAAGAAAGATTACCCATAACAATGCTCAACGTAGTATGGAAGGTTGGACAACAAAGTGTCATCAACATAAAAAATCCAAACGTCTTTCCCGTCTCTACTCAGCTTCAAGCTCATTGCATAAATCTCAGCCTCACTCGAAACCCTTTCGAGATCCACTATATAGCCTCGACCCATCATGTAATCTTTAACATAGCTTCCGCATTCCTTGGGTATAGTCTTCCAGGGACTCAAATTGTTGGTTTCCACAGAAAATCTCCAGCTCGTACACTCTAACTCGAGCTCTTCATTGGATTTCATGAACAGGGTCTCGATGTGTTCCGGCTATTTCATTATTAGAGGTCTTGGGAGAAGATGGGAAGTGAAGCCATCGTGTGATAAAGTGGATGGAATGAATGGAAGGAGAAGGAAAAGTTTGAAGAAGAAGGGAAAAAATGGGGAGTTTTTCTCGGAAAGAATGAATTTGGATTGTGAATTGAGGAGAAAACAAATCTGGGTATTGAAAAGAAATTATATAGAAGCGAATCAAGAAAGATGAGGAATTCAAAGAAATGATAAAGCTGCTTTCTTTTTCACGTGGATATGGTGATAAGGGAAAGAAGAAGAGAAAATGCGTTTCTTTGAAGTTGGGATGGAGAGAAAAAGAGATGTAAAAGACAAAGCTTTTGTAGCAATAACGATTGATGATCTGAAGAGGAAGACTGTGACGTGTTGGCCGGAACCATGCAGCGGAGGGAAAAACTTATTAGAATTAAGGGGTGCGTGGATTGAGGAATCTTATACTATTATATTTGGTTCCGATTTTTGAAATGTTATATTATTACAAAATATACCTTATAATATACGATTTTAATTAAATTTTTTTAGATTTGCCAAAATGACCAACTAAATCGCAATGCGATCTATAATTCGTAACGCGATCTCCGGTATCGCAAATCAGTTTCCAGATTTGCAACGCGATTCTGACTATTACATTGCGATTTTCCAAATTCGCAATGCGATAGTCCAAAATCGCATTGCGATAGTACTGTTCACCGTTGCGATAGCACTGGTCACCGTTGCGATAGCACTGTTCACCGTTGCGATAGCATTGTTCACCGTTACGATAACACTGTTCACCGTTGCGATAGTACTGTTCACCATTGTAATAGCACTGTTCACCATTGCGATAGTGATCAAAATAAGAAGAAAACTAATTAATAATGATCTTGAAGGTAGTTTACCTGAAAATAAATATAGTTGAAGGATCAAATCGTGAATGAAGCTGATTGTTATCTATGAGCATTGTTTATCATTCTATCTTAAAGATTTTTAATTATTGAGTAATTTTTTGTTTGTGATGATTATGATGATAGTGAACATTGTTTATAATGAAGCTGAAAACTGTACAGAGAGATCAACACATGGTTGCCCATATGAATTTTCCATGGACCAATTTGCTGTTGGGTTTGAAGCTAAAACATTCCATGGTTTAGTATTTGCCTGGTCTTGATTGATGAGCTATCACTGTCTCTCTGAAATAATGCATCAGTTTTGGTTCTAGAGATGTTTCACTGACATACTGAAAAAAAATTTACTGTATGAAAAAAAAGAGTTTTGTAAATGAGTCTTAAATGCATCATCCTATGTTAATTAAGAACTAGACCTATTAGAATAATATTAGAAAAAGAAAATGCACTTGGATCCAAATCTTGTGAACAGTACTATCGTAACAAAAAAAATACATTCTTAAACTTAAATTAATCCATACACCATTAAAGAGAATTCAAACAAAAAAAATCTCAAGTTTAAAGCTTTTTTGCATCATTATGGACAGAAAGCAACAGTAATATCGTAAATTCGCAATGTGAACAGTGCTATCGCAACGGTGAACAGTACTATCGCAACGATGAGCAGTGCTATCGCAACGATGAACAATGCTATCGCAATGCGATTTTGGACTATCGCATTGCGAATTCGAAAAATCGCAACGCGAATTTAGAAAATCGTAATGCAATAGTCAGAATCGCGTTGCAAATCTGGAAACTGATTTGCGATACCGGAGATCGCATTGCGAATTATCGATCGCATTGCGATTTAGTTGGTCATTTTGGCAAATCAAAAAAAATTTGGTTAAAATCGTATATTATAAGGCATTTTTGGTCACTGAGGTTATTTTCTCTATATATAATGTTATAGTATTTTGTTGATATAATAAAAAAATATTTTTAAAAAGTATTTATTAAATTATATTTGTGACATTATCTTTAACTTAGGTAGAATATTAAAAAATAAATAAAAGTTATACAAAAATTTAATTTTAGATTAATTGAGTTGGTATATAGTAATCAAATATTCTTATTTTATATTTTATTTGACATTATTTAATTGATAAAGTAAATAAATTTTAATGGTAAAATGGTTTACAATAGAATTTGAATTCCTTTTCAGTTTTCTGTATTCTTTTTGGGTTAAATTCTAGTTTTAATCTCATTAATATGTAAACATTCAATATTGAATCCATATATTTTGATTTGGCAGAATTTATCCTCCTATTTTTCTAGTATTAATAGTTAGTCTAAATTATTAACACCGTTAATTATTTCAGTTAATATTGACGTTGAATTTTTCTTTAAAAATTATATATCACCCAAATGCTTAAGGTGTTTTATTCTTTAAAAAGATCGCATAAAGCAGTTTAACTTAATAAAATTTTAGATATCAATTGATTTTTTTAAAGAAAAAAATCATGCTAAAACATTAACAACAATAGTTAAAGATATTACCCATTAAAAAAACTAATAACATTACAAAAAGTAGAAAGACCACATTATATCAAATTGAAGTACATGGACTAAAATTTAAACTATTACATAGTAGACTGACCGAAACAACAATTTGACCTTACTCTTGATGTGCCGTTATATTGACGATGCGGATCATATAACTTATATAAGGCTACAAATTCAAGGAAATTCATTCATATCATATCATAAAACCTTGTATAGTATTAAGATACGGTCCATAGTTAATGACCTAGACGGTGACTTTTCCCCCGAAATGCAACACCATCGCCTGAATTACTTGCCTGGTTCGGCTGCTCCTGCTCTGATGGAGTCGTACTCGATTGTGCTCGGTTGCCGTTGAGTCTGTAGCTTCTTCCTCGGAAGGCAACTCCGGCATTCGGATTGGGCTGCACCGAAGAATTAACTTGGATTCCCTCCCCCCAATGTGCTACTATTTTGTGACTGCAAACGCTCATTAAGGACTATAACACAGTTCAAGGTTCCGGTACGAATCGGTTAATCGATAAAGATATATGTACTCGATGCTTCGTCCGAAATGCATCGAGTTAGATAACGAGTTTAAATTTCATCATGCGTGAGTTTATTTAGTATATAATTTGTACATGAAGGATACACCCAAAGAGGGGTCTTGAGAACATATTTGCCACCAGCAAGAGGGTGAAGCACTGTTAAAAAGTAATACAGATGCCCTGCAACCATCCCTATGATATCTTCCGTTAATGGAATCCCAAATATCAGATCCAAAGCTAGCAATGCCCATGGTAGGTAAAATCCCTGACATTAACAACATCCAACATTCACAACCTCACCCGACTCAATATTAAGACGATGTTACAGTTCGTAAAAAAATCGACGTACCTTCAATGTTACGACGCCATAGATGCTGATCCGCGCATTCGGGTTCTCTCGGCTCCAAACGTAGACAATCATGAAAACCAGGGAACCGGCCATGAAAGGTGTCCATAGAAATGGAATGGCAGCCATCACCTAAGACGATCAGTCGAGCATGATTTTGGTTGAATGTTTGATTATTTTTGGTTTCTGATATGAAAAATGAAAGAAAACAAGTCATTTGTTTTCTCACCAAAAGTGATAATGCTCCAAAGATCAACATCCAGACATAATCTGCAGTCCTCTTGTCGAAGGCCCCTCTTTCTAGTAACACACCATATCTTGCTCTGTCAAAACATACTCGTATCAGACACATATTCGACATATCCGATCTAGTTAACATAGAAGAAAGATACTCGAAACATCACATCATTATAAGACGGACGGCAAAAATGGGCGAAAACGACCCGAGGAAGAAAAAGTTGGAGATGAGCCTCCAAACCTGCAACAAAAGAATATCAACGATGAACAACCAATAAAGCTCTCCAAGTTGTAAATTTGATTACAAAAAAGTGTTAACAAGTTCACCTGGAAACGTTTAAATACATATTGGTAAGAGAGAGCTATGTTCCAGGGATCATAAAGATCAAAATACAAGGCGGATGTGGTCATCAGACAGGCCACTCCATAGAACTTGCTCACAGGCGGTAATGATCGATAATATCTGATCAAATTGTAAGTTAATAAACAATTAGACCCGAATTTAGAAAAAGAGAATGCTCGAAATTCAATGAGACAAAGGAAGAAAGGTTACTGTGCTGGTGTAGACATTGCAGGAGCTAATGCTTTGTCTGTAGAATGAGGGATTATTTACATGAATACGATTGACTAATAGAATGGCTTTGCTTTGTGGAAACACACTAATGGCCAATGGCGTGAGTTTTGAGTTGGCAAAGTCAAGTCAAGAGAAAAACCATAATAGTCCAAGTCTTCTCTTTTAATGTTCACAGCTCATTGGACGGGCCACTGACATTGCAAGATAAAAACCTGTTATCGGAAACTCTCAGGTTGGTTCGTGTTTGTAAAAATACTTGGTCTCCCACGTCCACTCAAATGAGTAATTATTGCCAATATTTGATTAAGTTTGCTAATGGAGTCCATCTTTTATTCACCATCGATATAGTTAAGAAAATAAAAGAAAATAGACGTGGTTTGCACCAGACAAGGATCAAGCATACTACAACAGATTAATTGAAATAGAACAGTTGCTAAGGGTGAATTGAGAAAGGAAAAAAAAAACCGAGTAAGCAGAAGATTAGCCATCCGGAAAAATAATTTAATTATATTAATATAAAGGACTTAATTTATTAATAATAAAAGTTGAATTATATAATTAAATTAAATTAAATTAAAGGTTTATGATTTAAATAAAAGTTTAAGTTAAGTTTAATAATCTAATAAATTATCATTTTTTTAGTTTTTTTAAATAAAATATTAGAGATAAATATATTATGAATTTTTGAACAACTTGAAGGATCAAAATAGAGAAGAACATGGTATGTGACATATTATTATTATTATGAATTTTTTTGTGGCACATTGAAAGCCTCTCGGGTCACTATTACCATGTTGTTTAAGAGGGCAAATGTAATTATTTAGCATCTAATTTTAATATTTATGTGTAGTATAATATTTATTTTTTTAGTATAATTATATATTTAATTTTCATTTTCATATTTATGTTGATATTTATTTAAATTATATGTATTTATATTTAGAATATATAACATGTATTGAGATAATAGGAATGATAAAATAGCTTATTTAAAATATATTATTGAAATTGATAATGAAATTTAGAACCTTAATTGACTTACGATGAATTTTTTTAATGGAACTTCAATATTTTTTAAATGACATGTTATATACTAAATCTTCAACGTATTTTTATACATTTTAATTGGTCATAGAAAATTAAAGATTTAAATTATTATTGTTCCTATTATGAATTTCTTTTTAAAATTTTATCTTATTTTTATTTGAAAATCAAATTGTATTATAGTGCAAAGATGTTCTTTTTTATCGAATAGATTATTAAGGACATATCATCTTTAGAAGGTTTGACGTTCATTTTTCTCCATTTCACTCTTGAAATTTTTTTGATATAATTTTATTTTTGATTTTTAAAAATTTAAATTTATCATCAATTAAACATTTGAATTTATATAAACTAAAATTTAAAATATAAATCTTAACATTTTAAATAATTTTTAATTTATAAATAAAAATTAATTGTAGTTTTAAAATTATATAAAATAGTTTGGAGCAAGTTGTACATAAAAAAGTAAGGGTCAAATTGCAACCAAAAAAAATACTAGAAGATACCTTAACCTTTATTTTTTTGGCTTAAATATACAAAAGGTTCCCAACTTATGCTCATTTTTCTAGTTTAGTGCCTAATGTTTATTTCATTCTAGTTTGGTACCTAACGTTTCATTTCGTTACTCAAAATGGGTCAAGCCGTGACAATCATTTAAGTGACACGTGTCGCAATCTCATAATTTTATTTTTTTAAAAAAATATATAGAAAATATTATTATATTTATAAAAAAAACCTTATTTCTTTTAAAGTACAAAAAAGCCTCAAAATACATAAAATCCTCAAATCCTAACACTAACCCACCACCGCGATCACCGTTGTCGATGTAGTCCTTGTCATCATCATAGTTATAAGTCGTCGTAATTGTCGTCGATTGGCAATCGAAATCGCTTGGGATTGCAATTTTCATCATAGGATTCATAGGGTATAAAATATCGATTCGTCGTCGACCAGTCATTAATTAGTCACAATTTCATAGGGTTTTGGTCGCCGGGGGAAGGTGAGGTCAGGTGGAGCTTCGTCGATGGTAAAGAGCGATGGTCGGCGTTAGTTTAGGGGTATAAATGAAGGTTTTCAAAGTTTTTGAGTTATTTCAAAATTTATGTGTTTTATTTTTTAAAAATATATAATTTTATTTTTTTAATTTTATATAAAAATGTTAAAATTATCATATTGTGACATGTACTTAATGGAGAAAACTAACGGTTGGTCACGGCTTGGCCTATTTTGAATAACAGAATGAAACGTCAGGCACCAAACTGGAATAAAATAAACGTTAGGCACTAAACTTAAAAAACAGGCATAAATTGAGCACATTTTTATATTTAAGCCCTTTATAGTTTCTTTTCACTGATTTTATGAGTGTAATACTATCTAATTTATCTGAAATTTTAAAACAAAACATATTAATCTAATTATTTAAATATTTTTTAAATATAAAACTTAGATATTAAATTTAAAAATCACCCTAGATTATTTAAAAATATAAAAATGGATAAATATCATAATACATTATTTTTTATTAAATAAGTGATATTATTCCTGAAGTTTAATTTTACACATAAAATTTTAATTTAATTATATATATATATTAAAAAATTACTATGTTTATTAATTTTCATATCAAATAAATATAATTATTTATATATTTTAAAATTGAAAATGTTCTCATTTTTTTCTCAAAAAAAAGTTAGACATAATAATTATTCTAAGTATTTATTTTCTTTGTGTAATACAATTCATGGATTCGATTTCTTTAGAATTTTCTTACGAACCAAAACCGGCGAGCCTAAACTAGTAAGACCCGATCAATATGTCTAAAGCTTCGTTGAGAGTTCCATCTGAAACTCCCAGTGACAGTGACCATGCAAATCTATCTCGCACTTTCAAGTACTTATTGGGTTCGTTATTTCTCCTTTTTTCCCCATCTTCTTTTATTTATAATCGCAACACTCGTCAGTTGTGTTGATTTGTTTTTCTTTCTTTGGTTGAATTTCGTTTGGATTTGTGTAGCTACTCAGTTTCTGTCAAGAGGAATCCCATTCATATTCAATTCATGGGTAGTGAGGCACCTCACCCAGGAGGACTATGCGGTAGCCGCAACTATTCTTTTCCCTTAATTTTTCAACACTTAGATTTCATTTTCATTTCGTTATTGATTGATTTCTTCTTCTTTTGTAGGTGTATGCTGTTCAGTTCCATCTATTTGTGACATGTATTTTGTTTCTTAGCCGCGAAGGATGCCGGCGAGCCTGCATGCGTGCTGATATTAAATTGTGATTTCTCTTTCCTTTCTCATTGATTTCATTATATATTCTTTCGTTTATTTGCTTCATTATGATAATTTTTGCTTGCTTGTTTTATTTGTCTGATAATGCTTCATAAGTAGGCAGTAACGTAGGTCTTTGGTTTTACATGGTGTCATATAAGAAGTAATTAGGTCATAGTTTTCCAATTTTAGATTTTTTTTAATATCAAATTTTAGTTTGTCTAATTTGGATGAACATTTGTAATAATCTTATATTGGGTTGAGAAGAGATAGCTCTTGGGTCATCCTTTTGATACATTTTGAATTTCAGTGATCATTTAGCTTTATGCATTCTAGTTGTTTGTTTACGCCTAGAATTTGTGTTTTGTGCTACAGTGACGGTGCTTCAGCAAAAGACAATGTTGCGAACTTGTTGAAAGTGGCCTGGATCTGTTTCCCACTTGGAGTGGTTATCACGATTGCAGCTTGTGTCTTTGTCTTCTGTTGGCAAGGATTACATCATTCTGACCCATATGCTCAAGCTATTTTGATAAATGGTATTTCATATAACTGCTTCAAAACTCTCTACTAACTCTTCTGCCTTTCTAAGTGCTATTCATTGTGAAAAATGTCACTTCTTTTCACATGCAAGTTTTGCATTTTTGGCATGTTTAGCTCTGAATTTGTTAATGTTGGCTCTTGTGATGTATTCCAGTGCTGCAACTTCTAGTACTATAAAACTGTAAACCCTATGGAACGGATTTTGTTCAAAAAAGAAAAGGTTAAAATGACTTTCTCTTATATGAATCAAAACTCTGGATAATATTGACCAAACCCACCTGAAATCACGGATTCACGGTATTACATCTTAAATAAGCCAAGATTCAAAAAACTTCATCTGGAGTCTGAATGAGACCAAATTAATTGTAATCAGCTGATTATTATGTTCGCCATTGGTAATACTCCTTTTAGAACAATCTCATTCACTAGCTTAACTTTTTTTGGCAGGTAGTGCATGTATATTAGAGCTGTTGGCGGAGCCTCTACATATCCTTTCTCAGACATTATTTCTACTCAAACTGCGCTTGATGGTTGAAACTGCAGCTACGTTTTCACGCTGTTTAACAATGTACATTCTAATTGTGAACCTCACTAACATGGTAAAGCTTTTGAGGCAATTATGTTGTGATTGTTAATATATACATGTTGTGGATCTGCCTGTTGGCAAGGTGTGTTGTGTCTGTGTTTGATGGTTACATACAAGTATATTAATGATTCTTGGGTTAATATTCTGAGATGAAATATATTGCTTTGTTCTGGTATTCTGATGTTACCAAGCATGTAGTGTTCTTGGAACTGTTTTCAGCAGCTAATTGTTGTTGCTTCTGCTTGTGATGCATGAGGCTGAGTGTTTTTTGAGGTTTATGGTGGATCATTAGGCATTTGAGCATGAACTTAGGCACTTGATGTGAGAGCTTTCATAGTTTAACTACATATATTATGATTTGTCCTGTTCTACATCTCTTATGTTTCTCTTCTTTTCTTATATGCATGTAATATTTATTTATTGTTCTCGTATATTTTCAGTTTTCTTCTGATTTATGTGGGTTTGCCTATGAGAGCTTCCATTGTAACTTCTTCGTGATACGTTTGAACCTGATTCCTACAGGAGAAGGGAATTGTCTTTGCATTGTCTCAAGCAGCATACGGAGCCTGCATTTTTCTGGGTTATTGGAGCTATTTTCTTCTTTTTCGTGCATTTAGGAGTTCTGATCTTTTTCCTTTCAGGTACTGGTCCTTTTATGCTTGACCTCATTCTTTCTGGGGCAATATGCGTGCTTGAATTGTTAGTTCTCCTTGCCCTTATTTGTGGATAAATCTAAAATAAGATTTGAATTAATGGTAGATAAGCCATCTGCTTTTCTCGACATTGACCTGATGGGAATTTGGGTTTCCTCGTTAATTATTATCATGATGCTAACTTAGAGCAGTCATCATAACTGCTTTATCTGAGTACCTTGAGGATCCTATACGTGCATTGCACTTTAACTTTGTTTTAGTGACCTTTTACATATAATGTATCATTGGTTCTTCTAAAAATACCTCTTTTAATTATTATTTTTAATGTCTGAAGTGCTCATTTATTTTCTGAATAATTTAGTAGCTACTTGCTCTGCTTCTTAATTACTTTTCCAAGAATATCCATAAATAAAGCACAACTTTTGCAGAGTAGGACATATGATGAATTTTGATAAGCAGCTCTCAAACATGTGTATGTTGTTTACCCTTCAATCCTTTCGAAAGTTGATCCTTCAAGAAGGAGAAAAGATTGTCCTTGTATGGTTGGATACCCCATATAACCAAGCTGTGTACGGACTCGTAGACAAACTAGGTGAGTAGTCAGTAAAATTACCGCATACTTTACAAAGTTTTAGATGGTATGTTTCTGGCACTCAACTATTTAGTTGATATAATGCAATTCCTCTTGTCATTTGTTACTGCAATTGAGAAAATGTATTTGTCTATGTATTTATTTTTTCCGTTTAAGGAGCATATCTAAACCTTCCTTCTTTTTCTTTTTTTTGTTGAATTTAGGGAGCTTGGTGGTTAGGTTGGTGTTTCTTCCTTTTGAAGAAAGTTCATATTCCACATTTGCTCGGTCTGCATCAGGTTTATTACTCTCCTTTTCCTTAGTTCATTCTGTGAGGATAACATTAATATTGGAATAGTTTCTTTGACTTTGTGTCTCAACTCTCAGAATTCTGTCCATATATTTTCTATACATCAAGTAATTGCACTCTTGTGAAGGGAATGAAGTCAGATTTCTATAGGATGTTCTTCTGAGCACTTTTCCTTTGAGGTGAAAGAGATAAAGAATAGGTATATTTTAGGAAGTGGAAAGAAAGAAGCACTCTCCATTGTTACAAGAAAATTTTCTTTTTGTTCATCATCTGCACAATGAACATGAATTGCATGTGTTTGGGAGGTTGGATTAATTTAATGGTGCTGCCACAATATAAGACAGATGTAGCATGTCGATAATTTGTATAGTTGCATTCTTTCTTGTAGCTTGGTGGTTTTTCTCTATATTGTGCGTGAATTGAATAGCATATTAGAAATTTGTATCACCTTTTATGTCACTGATCAATTATTTAATGGGAGTTTGTTTGGATATAGTAATTTATGATGAATCTTCCTTGGACTGTTAATCTGCATTCCACCATTCATGTTTCATTAATTTCTATATGTTGCATCCTAAGGCCTGAACTAATCTGTGATCTTTGTTTTATTTGTTGTTGATATTCAGAGAAGTTTATCTACACACCTGAACTCAGCTTCCTTTTCCTTTAAACAAGCTGCTTCATGCTTCCATGAAGACTTAGCTTTCTAAATGATTTGCCTTTGAAAATTCATACGCTCAACACTTGTTCTCCTTAATTAAGATGGTACTTCCTAACTTGTATCATTTTGACAAATATCAACAGGACAGTCTCCAAATAAAAGCAAGAACTTAGGAAGATGTCTTACTGAGGCCCTGAAGCTTGTTTTACTAATTGGTATGTTCTTAAGTTTTTTGAATCTTGTGATATTTCCTCTTCTCCTAGAATCAGTTTTGTAAAATATTTTAATATAATGAAATTCTTAATTAATTATGGGTTAATATATGAATAATATCATAATTTCGGGACTTAGAATAGTAAAACAATAGTGCTAGAAATTGAAACTGTGATTTCTATTTGCTGATCTTCAATGCCCTTTTTTTTAGTGATGATATAGTTGTATATTGTAATCTAAGTAACAGTATTCTAATGCCAATTTTTGTTTTTTTTTTTCTTTATACTATTATAACTTCATGTCAAGAGACAACTTGCTACCTCTTCCTATCAGTTTAATATGCCTTAGCAACCATTATGTGCTTGAAAATCATTTTTCCTTTTTAAAAAGTGATGTTCTTTATATGTTTTCCTCAAGTTGATACTTATTTTGTAGGTCTTATATTTTTGGCATTTGGTCCAAGTTACTCCTATTGCCTTATCAGACTCTTGTATGGTCAGAAATGGAGTGATGGAGAAGCTTCAACAGCCCTCCGTTATTATTGTGTCTATATCATTGTTTTGGCTATGAACGGTTAGTAAATTTGGGTTATTATGCTTGTTAATTATGGATTGGGCTGCCTAAACATTATCCTGAAGCCTCATACTGGACATGATTGATTTTGTCTCATTCTTTCTCTTGTTTCCTTAAAACCTGGCATATTTGCGACGGTGCTATAATATCAATGCTGACGTGGCTGAATTTTGGATACACTTCTTGCTGTTAGTTTAGTTGCTTGTGCAGGATATTGTTCTTATATTTGGTTTTGCATCAGGGACCTCTGAAGCATTTCTTCATGCAGTTGCAACAGAAAACCAACTCAAACGCTCAAACGACTCTTTGCTTGTATTTTCATTGATATATGTAGCTTTGAATGTCCTTCTTATACAATCCGCCGGTGCTGTTGGTTTGATTCTCGCTAATTCTTTGAGTATCCTTGTCACATTGAAGCAATTTTCCTTTAGCTATAAGCATTATTTTCAGTGATTTCAGTCAACCAGGTGCCGCAGGAACATTTTAAAATCTTGAGAAGTAGTGTTGTTGAGCTGTATAGAGAAAGAGATGAGTATACTGTGTTTATGCTAAATTTGCACATTCTTATTACTTTTTTTTTCTCAAACACGTGTAGTTCAGCATGCTTAGTGCACTAGCATTAATCTTCCGATCTGTGTCAGAGCTCTGAACTGTCAAAAACATATCTTTGTTGTGGCATCTTGTGATGTGGAAGCTCCGTTTCCATGTAACACAAGTCTGGATGAGATTATCACTTAAAAATTAAAGTGATTCAGTGACATTACTGTCAAGTAAAAAAAATGCCTCGAGGAAATATCTTTTCAGCAATTTCTGATATAAGGCTTTGCATATTTGATTTCTGTCCTTTGACTTTGATGTTATACTGGCTTGCCTATTTATTAATTTTTTGATAGGAATTGAAGGACTCGTTAAAAAACCCCTTCTTGATTAAAAGAGTTTTAAACAAACTCCTTAATCATCGGAAGGAGGAAAAGAGTGCCTTAGGATTTCATTGAACATAAGAAATTACCAGATACAACCAGAAATCCACCCCCCAACATAAACAGATGTGGTTTCTGAAATATGTCCATTCTGTTTACTTAACAATTAAACAGATATGGTTTTTAGGATTATCTACTCAGCAATTTTCATCAAACACTTTTTCCAGGTATACTTAAGCTTGTATAAGTTATCACATTTTAGTACTCATTTCAACTTTTCACTGAATCACGGTTCCTTGTTTTCTGCAGGAGTTTTCATCATTTTCTTTCTCCAGCTGTTTACCTTCAGGTTGGACAATTCTGTTGCTATCCGGTGTAGCTACTCTTATTTCAGAAAAAGTATTTCTGGACCGTGAAAATTTTTGGACATCCTTTTTGGTTCATTTTTGCATTGGGTTCACTTTCTTCTGCATCTCAGCCTTTGTCATGTAAGTATCATCCTGTCTCGTGCTTCGATTTTTCTTATTTCATAAAGCTTTCCAACTTATCATTGTTTTTTAGTTTTTACCTTATCAACACATGCATGCTTGTCGTTTATTTATTTATTTATTAAATTATTGTTTTGTATCTTCATGAGTAGTTTTCGGCGTGAGAGGTCTTTTATCAACAAAATTATCCGTTTCCGCGACCACTCGGACTGAAATCAAGAAGTACCATAACTGCATCTTGAAATTGAAGGTGGGATTATTTTCCTTAAGATTACTTCTAATATTCCCCATAATTTATCATCCATTGAATGAGTTGTGATGGGGTTTGTGAATTTTGGTTGGTAGTTATGAATTTCATTCAATTGATAAAATGCAAAGGAAATTCTTCCTAGCAAATATAGAACAGTAGAACAGACATGTCAGAAACAGAAATTGTACCAAGTATACTAAATGATAATTTCAAGAATTTTTATTCTTCTGAATGTTCAACAAGGCGAAAGCTGATGATATGTACATGATTTACAGTATTTTCTCTTGTTCTTCGAAAGGTTCAAATTCTTTTGAAGTTATTGCTTTTTACTGACAATTCCTGTTGATGTCACTGCATGTCCCCAATGTCACATTGATAGACCAGTCAGGGACTGTAAAATACATGGCAAGTAAAAAAAAGAAGTGATAGATTAGAAGTGTCTGCAGATTCAATGCCAGCGTGAATGCCTCTTCCAAGAATCGCCAGAGCTTTTCTATTCATTTCTGCTAAGTAGTATGGGGATACATACTTTAAATCTGGATTATTCAATTTCTGATAGAATATGACAATGGACACCAATCGTTTGCCATTAGAGGACAAGACAGTATAATGTGTTCAATTTTTGCTGTTCTACTGTTTACATTTGTTACTGAAATTTATTCGTTTAGGTTTTCAAAAAGGCTTAAACTAAAAACAAGTCCTTAAACTGTCTTTTTTTTGGTTTAAGCCCCTAAATTACTTTTTGGTGAAAATAAATCCTTAAACTATTATATATAATCATTTTAAGTACTTAAATTATTTGTTGGTCAAAATAAGTCCCTAGACTACGCTCTTTTTTTCTGAGTCCTTAACCTATTCTTGGGTCAAAGCGAATATTTAATTTTGTGTGATATGTCGATGAGATGATGGGAAGAAATTTTTTCAACTTTTCAACCGAGAAAATAGTAGGACTTACGATGGTTACATATAATAGTTTAAAAACTTATTTTGATTAAAAAATAGTTTAGGGATTTAAAGCAAATGGGCTTATTATAATTTAAGCCTTTTAAAAAAATAGGTTGTTTCACTTTGTTTTGTCATTACACATATCTCAATCAGTCTTGAAATAAATAAAGAGTTTAATGGAACATTTTATTTTGGTGCATTTGTATTTTCCTTGAAAATTTTCTTTGTAAGAATCATTACTAAGATTTTTTCCTATTGAAATTTGTTGTTTGTAATAACCATTTGTATTCGCTTTTACATGAAAAAGGTTATAAACGTTTAAGAAAAACCATTATAACCCATCATCATGGGGTGAGCCAATGGCCCCATTCTTTTAAACAAAAGAAAACTATATATGATTATATACGAATGCACTATGTTTACATGTCTTCAAAATATTCTACTATTGCATAGTACATAATTCAAAAGAGAAAAGACAAGTCATCTAGAGTAATTGGTTATAAGTTCATCTAGAGCAAGTCGTTATAAGTTTTCAGTTGATATCTCTCGTCTTCCTTAAGTTGTGGGTCCAACACTTATTATGAGTAAAAATCTTCATCAATTACTGATCTTACAAGCTGCTAATAGGAGTTCAGGGGTCAATCTGACCAAAATTGCCAAAGTTTAGGGGCAAATTTGACCAAAATAACCAAGTTCAAGGGTCATTTTGTGTTTTAAGCCCTTTATATATGTTACTAAAATAATGTCTCTAAAGGAAAATAAGGCATATGGGGGCCACATAGAAGAAAGTTATGATTCATATAGGAAACCCATGGGGGATGCATTGGCTGTCATCCCTTGTTATTTGTAATAATAGGGGTTTGATAAGCTGTGGCCGAACCAAACAAAAGGTAGAAGGAAAAAAAAAAGTGGGGGAAACAAATGGAAAACTGATGATGAAGAAGAAGACCGATATGAGTGCAAGCATCCAATTTCAACAACCCTAAAACAAAATCAGCGTGTAGTAGTTTAGTTGGCTTTTCATTCGCATATCTTCTAAAACAAAATGATGATGCTTCTTTATTTTCTTTTCCTTGGTTTTATAGGAATATGAGGTGATTGGATTCCCTGGTGGATTTCATTTCTCGTGCTAAAAGAAATCATGAGTGAGTGCAAGCTACTTCACACGAAAATCTCCTATGTTATGTACCGGAGTCCACAATCCACATTTATGCATGTTTGCATTTCAGTTCGAGAATCAATCCTTTTTCATTTATTCAGTTTTAGTTAAGTTGATATTATTATTACTGCAAAAAAATCAAAATAGGTGCTAATTAGGCTAGTTAATAATAATGACAATAAATTACCTTCATCAACCAATTTGACTAGCAAAGCTTTGGCATTTATATTTTTTTTAAAAGAAGGCACATGCATATGGTTTCTAATTTGGTCAAAAAGCAATCTTCCATTGATAATTTCAGTTGTAGAACGATGGGAAAGAAAGTGTCTAAATTAGTCAAATGGGTTTTCAAAGTTCTTAAGTATTTTCTGGTTTGGTGTCTCCAATGAAGCTGCAAATTAGGGAGCCACACCAACTTCATAGTTCAATAGCCTATGTTCCTAAAATCAAGTCTTTAAACGGAAAAGGAAAATATAACCTTACCTAATAAACACACAATGAATCATGAATGGGGCAGCATTGACAAACTGTATCCCTTTGTGCAGTTTGTGATTTTGTTTAAAGGTGTTAGTTTTAAAAGAGTTTTATTTACTGTTCTCATTGTTTTTCAATGCAAAACTTAAATGGATAAACTATGCTTTTCATCCCTTAATTCGGATCGTGTTTGTGTTTTGGTCACTCAACTTTAAAAAAAAAGTTTGTTTCATCGTTAAGCTTCCGAATCGCATCTGTTTTGCGCACTCCACCGTTAATTATCCAACGGCATTATGATAGGAAATATATTTTTAATTTTTTTTTATAAAAGGAACCTGAACTTTCTTTTCATTTTTATGAAAATACCCCTAAAATCTCACTTCCCAAAGTTTTAACATAATTTATTGGATTTCCTTTGATTTTCTAATGCTAGAGCATCTTCTATTCTTCTTCCAACTCCTAACAGTGGGAAGGAGGAGACAATCAATAGATTTTGATTTCATATTGATTGAACAATGGTGATTATATATCATAGTCATTTTTTCTTCTAGGTTTTTGGTTGAATTTTGCGAGTTTTGAATAGACTCTGAGAAAATCTCAAAGCGGTAAAATGATAGTCGATGGTGAGGTGTGTTCGTCGGTGTCTAAAGTAGTCAAAGAAGATGCAGAGAACAATCCATATCACCATTGATGTTTTTGATTTAACGTCCGAGTGATCAAAATAGGAACAATTCAAAAAATTTATGATGAAAGTGAAAATTTTTAAAGTTGAATGACGAAATCAAAGTTTAAATTGTGAAAACAAAATTTATCCTAGTTAAAATTATCTTTAATTTTGAGGGTAAACTACTTGAACAGTCACTTAACATGGTGGGGATTTTAATTTGACTAATGATATATAATTTTCACGATCAAATCATTTAAATATTTAAATGATATTAATAAAATCACATGGCGTTATCGATTAACAAAAATAAGGACGTGATGGATAACGTATTTATATAATTACACATTTGGTATTTATTAATTGTACAATCTATCAATTTGGGTTTGATTAAATTAAATTCAAAAAAATATTTTCATAATCAGATGATAACACATTTCATCATTTGATTGTAAGAATTCATTCTTAATTTTAATTTAGTTAAGCCAATAACTTTTTATATAATTAGATGATAAAATAAGTCAGATGAAAAATTTGAAACCAAAGTGAGATTAAAAGGGATCAAACTTGGAATGAGTGGTGTGATAATGCACTACAAAAAGGTAAGGTAATTCCAACGTGAAAACCTAAAGGGCGTGAAGAAAAATAAAATCAGAACCTTCTATTGAATACATGCTTCATCTTCTAAAACAAAATTAGTTACTATCAATAAACACTTTGTCTCTAGTTAAAACTATACACAATATTGATGTAGTCGTCGAGACTGAAAGAAACAATCTGTCATATTGTTCCGTGAAAGATTTTGAACACATTGACAAATTGTCGCAAACATGGATCTAACTATACGAAATCATCGATCTTTCCTGATCTGTAACTACCCCAAGATGACTGCAACACGAAACGTCAAACTATCATAATAATAGATAAAATTGTGTCATAAAAGCATATGAACAATAGTGTCATAAAAGCGTACAAAAACAAACACTTTACGAATATACGAAAAGAGATAAATCAAAATGTGATTTAACCTAATTTTTTTTCATAGTTAAATAACTGTTAAATAATTTAACCTAATTTTTTTATTAAGTTAAAAGTGATTACAAAATAGTATTTGTTCTAAGTACTCTCAACCATCCTTGCAATCACCGGTGATTGAATCCGTAAATTCTAGGAGTAACAACGATTCCTTTAAACATTAAGATAAGTTGGTTCGTGCAATAATTTAACCTAATTTTAAACTTTAAGTTAAAAAGTAATTATACACTTAAACAAACTCAGAATCATTACTAAACTATTAAGCTGTCTAGTCTTAACTGGTCACTCATATGCTCTCAAAATAAGTGGCGGTGCCCTCTCAAACATATATCCATATTAAAGCACCTTTTTATTTATTTATTTATTTATTTATATTATTATTATTATTATTATTATTACTTTGAAGGGGGGGGAAAACAAATGTGAGAGAACATGACATGTAATGATAGTACAAGGGACACTTGCATCAGTACTGTTTCAAAATCCGCTTTGTTGTATCTCTTGGGTCTTAAAGAGACATCGCCACCACTCCAATGTGTTTCATCTTTGATATTTTGAGAGATATCAATTTTTTTTAAAATTTTTAATTTATTTAAATTCAGTAAATGAATTCGATGTTAAATGAATTATTATTATTTTTTAAAATTTTAAGTTCGAGCAGTTATATTTATAAAATGTATATACATTATTAATCATTAAAAAAATTATGAACAGATACTATATTTTAAACATCCGATACTATTGGAAAGAAACAAAATTTATAATTTATCGATAATATTATATATATATATATTAAGAATAGTAAAATCACTTGATAAAAAAATCCAACTGCTTACGTTGATGGAAACGTTTGAACATAATTTTTAGTAATGTTTTCACTTAGCTTCAAACACTCATAATTTTGTTCACCACTTTGGGATACGTGAAATATATTGTAATTATATCTGATATGGAAATTGAAAAGGAGCCTAACCTATCCAAT